AGTGCCATACATAAGTTAGAAGCTAAAAATATGTGTCGAATGAATAACACATTTGCAGAGTTCACGGTAAGATTCAAGGTTATATAATTTTATTGAACGAGTACTTAGGAAAGCTCTCTGGGTCATTAATTGTGTTTGAAATAAATTCTTTTCTTGATGATGATGAAGATGTTAATGTCAGCTGCCTCAGCAGCTGCTGGGTAGTAAGCTGAAGTGAGTTGACCAGAAGAAAGAAAAGAACACACTAAAGCACAGCTTCAAACAGTATCCTTTAATCTCCGACTATTGGGAAGACCTGCCACGGATAAATTAGTCTATGTGCCAGGATCCCAAGGGAGCTGGTGAACTATGAGCAAAGTTAGCTTTGGCAGAAAGAAAGGCGAAGTCATGGATAGCAACAGATACTGCAAACCTTGGTCATGGTTGCCATTGAAAGGATGGGCTGATGTGGATATAGAACACAAAGCTCTATTCTTTTCTCACAGGTTTCCAACTAGTCTTTCCAACTAGTCTTTCCAACTAGTCTTGGGAAACAGCCCTGTCAACACTATTAACTTCCAAAGGGAAAGACCATGATGTCATACTTACTCATTTCTATCTATTTTTTATACAACTCTAATTTATCCAGAAATACGTGGAGGTACATTTATTGCAATTATTATTAATACCTTTCCCCCTAATACTTTAACATTTATTTTATATGAGTGGAAAGTCCATACCATGTAAACAAAACTTTTTTTTCACATGTCTTATGTTACATGGTAAGTCACAGTTTATTATTTGTTGGAATGTTCATCTTAAGCATTAGGACACATGCATATTTCTTGCTGTTTACAATTTTAAACAGAACAAAACCTCAAATTAAAAAAAAAAATTAAACACATGCTTGTAAAGCCCATCCTACACTTTTGTAACCAAATAAGTACCCATAATCTTATGAATGCACATACACAAAGAAAAGAAAAAGAGAAAGAAAGAGACTTGGCTTAGCATTTCTTGTTCCATTTTGCTCTGACTTGATTGTTTCCCTGGCCCACATCTAGGACTGGAAAGTGGTGGCTTATTGTATCTGAGGTTAAGCTGATGGTTTTTATTTCCTGCTTCAACCATAAGCAAGATATCCAATGAGTATGTTTGGGAGGACTTGTTTTTTAACTCCATGGCTTGTTTTTTAGCCCTATGGCTCAGTCCCATGGAGTATGGAGGAGTCTGAGCAAACTCTAGAAGACAGCTTCAGAGAACCTCTGACCATGAGGTCACATGTACATACAATTATTCTCATGGAATAGGTGGCAAATCCTCAAGATGATCTTGTTTGTGAGATACAAGTATCTCTAGGACATTTTCAAAGCCAGCTTCATACTATAATTAGCCCCAGAGTCGGAGTATACTGGAAATTACTACGTTATGGGCAAAAGATTGAGTTAGGTGTGAAGGTAAGCCGGGCTGCTCTCTACTGTGTAGTTAAAAACAAAAAAGTGGGCACAGAGAGAGTACTTGTTCAGCCCTTTCTTCACCCACTGCATTTTCATTTCCCCTTCCACCACCCCAGAGGTCTAATAATGGAGTCTAACATCCTATATTCAGTGGAGCTTTAAAAATCCACAGAGTACAAAACTGTAGCAGGAATTTGGGGTTTGCTTTTCTTTCGGGTTTAATGTGACTTCCTAGGCTCAGGATCCTTTATATTATATTCCTGAAACCTTGGGATCACGGAGGCAAATTCCCGTGGGGGAGCATGGCTCTGAGAGTTGATTAGCACCATTTGCCTGCTTCGTCCTTCTCTTCTGCTCAGGTATTAGTTGTTCAGACAGCTGCGCTGGTGCTCTGCTCCCCAAGTCCCTAGCTCCATTTTAATGTGAGCCAGTGATGCAAAGTCCCCAGCTTGGCCTGTCAGAACTTGATAGCTCTGTAAACATTGAAATCTTTGTTGCCATAACACCAGGAAAAATAATATGGGATCCTGCGTATAAATATAGTGGAGGCCTTGGGAAATGGGAGCATTTCTAAATGACTTGAAGCTCTGTCATAGCATAATCTCTTATAAATAAATGTCAACCCAGTTGCTGAATGCAGACTGGATTTTTGCCTGCCTATGGTGCTCAGCCTTCTAGACAATAGTTATGCTAAGGGATTATCTTTTAACATAGTGCAGTTATCTCCTTTGTTTGTTTTCTTTTTTCATTATTCACATAAGCCAAGGGAAATGAAAAGCATCTTATTTCAGGCAATAGGGCCTGTGAATGATTAACTCTGATTCCATGCGTTGGGACTTTGCATAGCAACCCCTTGGCTTACAACTAGAGAAAGACTCAAGGCAGCAACAGCAGCCCAGGGACCTGAGACGAACATTCTCCAACCGAGGTGGTGAGGAACAGATTAAGTCTAAGGACTGTGTTTATGAGTCGAATTCTCTGTAGCCAGCTCATTTAATTTTGCATTGCTTCTATTGCACTTTTTTTGGTGAAGGTACATTTTGTTGACCTTTACTCTTATATTTACTCTCGCTTTTGGAGTATACTTGAAGGTCTGAGTGAAACTTGGCCATGATCAGGGCTTAATCTGGTTCATGTGCCACCATATTGTATGTTTTCTCCCTAATACTATCTAAAACTAGACTAACGCTGGCAAAATTTTACATTAAGAAGTGGAGTTAATGTAATGGCCTTAAGTTTTAATTTTAGCTCAACGAAATTTTTGTTGGTAAATTTTGACAGTCTTGTATGATCTATATAGTACAAAGCATTATATGAATGGAAGAGAAGCAAATGGTGTGATTATATGGCTTCAATTAAAAAAATATGAGTCTGTAAAGGACCCAGATTATGCAATATGAGAGATGAAATCAAGACCCATTCCATATCTTTTATGGACATTTGGTGCTTAAGCATTTATATAACAAGGTCCATTTTCAAAGAAAACAAGATCTGAGTTAAAAGACTCAAGAAGAAAATGAAATGTAGGGTAAGGACAGAAGAAACAGTGGAGAATTTTGGAAAATGCATACAGTTATAATGGAGCCAAAATATTTAGGACACTTAAATTTAGACTGCAAGTCAATCCAGATGTTTATTTATTAACGTTAATAATGTTTCCAGTCTTGTTATAGAATACCAAATCCCGGGGGGCTCCACTTCTGAGTTTAAAGACAAATGCATGGTCTTTATTCTTTTCCAGTTCTGTTTTAATTTTAGAGGTTTTCTATAGCCATGATTTTCCTGTAAAAGTGTTTGCAAAATCTTGAGCAGCTCCTGATGCCTAGCAGAAATTCTGAGTGAAACATTGGGTCTAGCAAAGCTTTCCCCTCTCTGCATTTCTCTTCTTGCTTCCATGGCAATAAAGAAAGAAACTTGGCATAAGAATATAATCTGTTCCTGCCTGTTTCTCATCTGAAGTTGTAAACCTCTGCCATCCCACCCAAGACTAGAATTTCAGCTGGCATGGAACAGCTGTCTGCTTACAGGTTTATTCCGGTAGTAACCAAAGACAAAACTATTTTAATTGAAGGCCCTAGGCTATTCTCCAAACCCTCACAATCTTTGGGTCATTCCCAAGAGGAAACCATTGAGGAAAAGGTACACATTACACCCTTTCTTATAGTTTTGACACACTGTATGTTTATGAAGTTGAGAACATTTTACCTTCTAATTTTTCTAGATGGGATGCCATTGAGAAAAGGAAAAAAAGAAAGAGGTGACAAGTACAAGAGCTCAGGCACACCAGCTATGTCAGTGGAAAGTAGGCTGTGGTGTACGGGAGAGGGAGTGTCTTAACCAAAGGAGCATCTGTTGCTCAGCTTCCCTCATAGTTATCATGTGGGAATGTGGAACCCTGGTGTGGCCAGATATGCTGGTTTGCCAGTAGAAGTTCTTGATCCTGATTTTATTTTTTTTAAGATTTTATTTCTTTATTCATGAGAGATGCAGAGAGGGGCAGAGACACAGGCAGAGGGAGAAACAGACTCCCTGCGGGGAGCCCGATGTGGGACTCAACCCCAGGACCCTGGGATCACAACCTGCGCCAAAGGCAGATGCTCAACCGCTGAGCCACCCAGGTGCTCCCCTAATTCTGATTTTATGTGAATTCTGTATAGTTTTAAATGGTGGAAATTAACTTGAAGTGAAGCCAAACATTGTGAAGGTCAATGGAAACATGGCCCTTAAATGGCTAGGGCTGCCAGTATCTAACTAACCCCCAGGCTTTGCTCCTGATTCACTGCAGGTAGATTTTGCATTTCTCAGCTCCTTAGGTTCTAAAACTGTCAGGTGAAATAATTTATTTACACATTTCACTTTTTATTCTAGGCAGTACAGCATAAAGAAAAGAACACAAGTTTTGGAGTTAGGGAGATGTAGATTTTACTAGTTCCAGATTTTTACCAAATTGTAACCTGCACCACTTTAATCTCTTGAAGCCTCTCTTACAACATGTGGAAATGAAAATCTAGTTTACAGGGTCTCTGAAGGATTAAATTAACTGCTATCCATATATAAAATGTTTTGGCTGGCCCATAGGTGCTCTTTGCATGGGTGTTACTTTTCTAATCATTACCAGCAGGTGATCCACTTTGGAAGACACAAGGCCTCCATCCAAATGAGTTTCTCTCAGAATAGGGATAAGGTTGTCTTTGAAGGTCTACTAGGGTATGCAATACAAATAAAGTGTATCAAGAATCACCTCTAAGGCCTTTAAAAATTTGAGAATTTTAGAAGAAGAAAAGACCTTGAGGAAACAGACATTTCAACAGCTGAAAGTGAATGGAATCATCAGTTTTATTGTAGATATTAATATCTGAAACCATGGCAAGTGAATGCTTTTCCTGAATTGCAGTATGACATGTAAAAAACATAACTTGTTATGAAAATAAAACCAAAGACTGTAACTGGAACTATGTTGTAAAATAAAAGAATGTAGGTTAATAATTTTCCTCCTAATTTCTGTGGGACTATTTACTCAGAAATGTATGGATAAATGTCACTAGAATATTCCCTTCTTTTGTATCCAGGCGGGTCTACTATTAGGAAGATTTCTTCTCTCTTAGCTATCAGTCCATGATCTATGCACAATGGTGCCACGGGTCTACTCAACCAATTGCAGTGCATAAAAATTGAGTTCAAGAAGATGACTGATATTTTCTCCTTACTTTCTGTTCAAAATTAGGTGCAAGTTAGAACTTCAGCATTCAATGGAAGAAGCTTCCTTCCTTCCTTTTCTTGGAACAGCTGCAAGTAATAACAAAACAAAACAAAACATTCAGTCTTACATAGTTCAGCGGTAAAAACAAAACAGAGTAGTCATGTATTATGGTTCAATATATCTGGTGTTTTTCACATGACATATCCTCTTGCTTGATAAGGTCTCTTTGGCAGCGTGATAGGGAGTGGTGTGGTTGTGTGATGGATTATTTGAAGTGTTTGTCTATGAGCCCTTGATGTATTTACTGACAAATCTCTCTTATTCCTAAAACTTAATGGCAGGTGGTCCTGGTCATACAGGAATCTCAAAGATTCTCACTGACGTTTAAGAGTTGTAAAGAATAATAATAATATTGACATCTACCACGAGAGAGGAATTATGCTAGATGCTTAAGTCGACATTGTTTATAATCCTCATCGCTCTTTATGTAGATCTTCATCTCCATTTTACAGAGGGATCGGTTGAGTCTCAGGCATAAAGGGCTTCCTCTGGCCACAAAGATGGTTAGATGAGGTTATGATTAAACCGGGTTTGTTGCTTTAGGCTGTCTACTCCATACTTCCTCAAATATTTTAGGGAATAACTTGCCCCATTTCTGGGAATTCTAAGATACCTAGAAATCATCAGAAAAGTCAGAACTCTCAACAATCTAACAGCCAAGCCAGAAATAGAACAAGCTCACTTGACATATAGTATAGGCACACTTATTTAAGAGCTCTTGCTATTTCTTAGAAAAGAAGGAAATTCTCTTTCTTTTACTTACTGCATTAACAACAAAGAAAGAAATTGAAAAAAAAATGGGGGTGATAAGGAGTAGAATAATGAAAGATTGTGCCTGAGGAAAGTATAAAGAAACTAGCCTTTCTTTCCCCCTTTTTCCTCATAAGCTCCATCTTCTAAAATGAGTGAAGAGCTAGTAAGATAGACTAGAAAATGTCAAGGACTAACAGTATCTGACATTCTATAAACAACAGTGGTTGTTTAGTAAATATTGCATGAGCAAGCAAGGTCTTTGTTAATTTTCTTTGCTTTCATTTTTTCTGGAGACCCTTTTCTCCAAATATTTTTTTCAATCCTGATTCAATCCTAATGAATAATATGTAGGAAGTTTATCACAGAGATATAAGACAGGAGCAGAAGTACAATTTGGACAGTGTTATTACTATAGTTTGAACATACATTTAGATTGGAAAATAGATTGTTATGATGCAGAGTGAACAATTCCTCTCCTGGAAATGACAGCTAACTTACTTAGATTTTAAGTAAGTCCAAGGGCCATTCTGGATGTAGAAAGAAATCCTCACACATCCCAGGAAATAAATTAGCGTGACAAACCACAATGTAAAAATTGAGCATGATGACCCTTTCTTTTCCTTTGGCAAAGAACATTTTGTTTATTCATATGTCCATCAGAAAACAAGTTTACTTTAGAACATCGGGATAGGAATCCTCAGCAGTTGGAAAAAACATGTGAAGTGCAGTTCTTTGGAGAGAGGCAACATGAAGGCAAGGTAAAATCACAGAAGGCCAATCTTATCACTTAACATTGTTTACAGAGATGAGATTCCAGGCTCCTTACCTTCTCTGTGGCTATTGATATCACCATCTCAAAAATCATTTAGATTAGTGGTTCTGAGTTCCCCAAGGAATTTCCGAATCTGAGCCCCTGGAGAGAAGGAAAGGCAAAGGTAGAGCTTTTTCATTTTATATGATCCACAGATAGTTCTGATATGCAAACTATATTAGATAGCAGGTTTAGACACTTTAGGTAACACTCCAGAGTTGCAGGGTTGGTTTTTTTGTTATTTACTCCAAATGAAAATGTGTGACTAACGCTATGTTTACAACAGGTACCCAGTTTACAATAATGAAAGTATAGCAAAGAGATCCCCCCCTCAAAAGTATGAAAATATACTTCCCTTCAACACCCTATGATTTGTGAACTAGATATGATAATATAGAAATAGAATCTTTAAACAGCACATGTAATTAAGATAAAAATATTAGCATAGTGAGATCCCTGATCAGAATCCAGGGGTGGCAGTTGGTTGAAAGTTCACTATGCCAATGTGCCTGGTTTGATCGTGATAGTTTTTCATCCAAAACGCTAGAGACACTGATGGCAGGGTTATGAACAAGCCTGAAGGTTTTAGAGAAAATAAAAATTTGAGAGAGAGGGAGGGAGAGAGAAGAGAAGGCGCAGATCCAGTATGATCGGATATAAAGTGAATATACCTCTGTTGAAAAGAAGAGGAAAGAAAGTCAGAAGGAACTAGAAAGGAACCAGTAAACGTGGGATGCTCCTAAACTCAATGTTGAGGGCTTATGATCGGAGAAGGACAATTAGGACCAAGGGCTGAGAAGTGACCTTAAAGACAAAGTAGAAAAGGACTCAATAATTCCAGTGAGGCATGATCTGCAGCAGAAAGTGAAACTGGCAGAAACCAATGAGGATACTGACCCTCAGAATCAGGACTGGAAGGGTTGCCTGTGGCAAGAAATGGTGTAAACCACACAGAGGGCTTGGGCAAGACTAATGTTGAAAACCTCTGCCAAGCCAAAGAAGATGGAACTATATATTTGTAACTTCACTCTTGTAGTTATCATTTGTATCCTAACGGTCTTTTTAATTGTAGGAAAAGTAGTTGTACACTTGAAAGGACTGGTGGGCTAGATCCCGTAGACATGCTGGGTGTGATGAATGGCCAGAGTTGAAGGAAAGGGCAAAGTTCAGAGGCATGGTCTTCAGAAGAGAAAACCACTCCCCTTAAAAAGTTGTCTGATGGCTGCTGGAAGCTATGCAACAGGAGTATCTGGGAACCTGACTAAGAGAACCATGTATTGGAGCAGGCAACCTTGCAGAGCAACAAATTCAAGAGCTTAGAGGAAATAAGAGGGCATATTAGTGAAATTTTGAGAAAGAAGCTTTAGAGAACTTGATGGAGATAATTCATAACAGCAGCTGAATAACTCAAGAGCAAGGGCAGGTTATCAACAGAAGTCAGGAAGGGGAGCATGAAGGAAACAGAGCTCAGAAAGCACTTTGGAGAAGGGAAAGCAGAGTGTGGGACTTAATATCTAGAAACACTCAAAAGGCTATACAGAGACTTCTTGAAAGGACAACTCAGGACATGCTGGCTGAAATGGTGATCCTGAGCTCTTCAGACCCGAAGTGAAATGGAAGGCCTGGAGCCAAGTGGGTAAAGACCCCATAGTACTCCCTCTGGAATCTCAGAGTGAAATACCGGCTTGGATCTAGCAAAGGAAGGAGGTGAGACGAGATGGGAATCTACAAAGAGGAGCCTTTTGGGGACATAAAAGTAGTGCAAGAGAGCCCCTTGTGGAACTTGCTGAATACTCAAATAGTTGGTATTCAAATCTTGTTGGCCAAATAGACTATTCTACAACTCAAATTTAGTAACAAAATAGAAAGGTTATGTGCAGGTTTAGTTATCTGTCTTTGTTGGACTGTGGTAGAGGAGGGGATAATGCTTAGGAATGCCAGAGAGTGGTAAAAGGCTATAACCCAAGGGATGCAATTCTTGGAAGAGAAACCTTCTTACTGAGCATGAGATGATCATGTTAATTAACTAAGTTTAGTGCAGCGGGAGAACCATAATAGAGAAGTCTTCTCTGTGGAGTTATAGTCTTGACAATAAGAATACTTTAAGTGAATTAGGTAAAGAGCATAAGACACATTGCATAATCATTAAAGAAGGAGAATCTGTTTAATTTCATAAAAGCATATAACATAAAATCTTTTTTAAAAAAATTAGTATGAAATACCCAGAAGTAATATTTGAATAACTGGGGTTTTCCAGTGGAAGGAAGAATTTATATTGAAAATGTCAACATCACAAAGTGAAGAAAAATTGTTTAGAACTATTCATTGTTGCAAGCAGGCACAGTCTGGCAAAGATTATATATCCTGAGCAAGAAGAATTTTTGGTGATTTGAATCAAGACGACACTGTGACTTGTTCATAAGAGGTGCTCAGTATGTATTTGTTGAATGGATAAAATAAAAATATGTTAAGTAACTAAACAAATTGGTGAATAAATGAAAGACATGGTTGTATATTCCATTTGGTAAGTCCTTCTCCAAGATGGGTTAGTTGCCTTTCCGCAGGCTCCCATGCTATCATGTACATGCACCTACCTTATCCAACGGTATTTTATGCTTTTCTACTAAACCATAAGCTACTTAAGGGTAGGAACTAATTCTTATTCTTCGTGATAACTCCAGTACTGACCACGGAAGCTTGAACATAGTAGACATTCAAGAACTGGTTGTATAAATGAATGGCATTACTTGAAGGAGTACAAGCTTAACACAAATGTTAACATTATACATGAAAGAGTTAAAGAAGTACTTTTAAAGAAATACTTGAATAACATGTAGGAAGTTTATCACAGAGATATAGGACAGGAGCAGAAGCACAATTTGGACACTTTTATTACTATAGTTTGAGCATACATTTAGATTGGAACATAGATTGTTATGATGCAGAGTGAACAATTCCTCTCCTGGAAATGACAGCTAGAGAATTGAGGATGGAGACAGGCTTTTTACTGAAAACACAGTAGGATAGTGTCCTTCCCGCCACCCAACTCCCAAATTGTCCAGACTCTCAGATTAAACATGGATTATTTCTTCAAAAAATTTTCCCAGAGGAAAGCCAGCATCTATCTCCCCCTACTGGTGTCATGTTAAGAGTGATGTTTGACTTTTTTTTTTCTTTTAACTGAGAAATGTTTTAATTAAGATGAATATTTTCATTTGTTATTTAGAAAAAAAATTCTTACACTTAATGAAGTTTAAGTGTCCTGCAGTGGAGGTTTGTGTTGCAATGAGCTTTACCAACATCTAGAGTATAAATTGTTTTATCACAGATGAGGAGTAAATATAGTTGCTAGTGCATCTGCAATGAACAGATTTATATGATAGCAGATTATAATTGGCTGACAATAAAGAGTTAAAAAACTTTTTATTATAGGAAAATTCAAACATGCACAAAAGAGAAAAATAGAATGAACTCCCAGGAACCCATTATCTAGTTCCAACAAACAAGTCATAACCAAGCTTGTTTCATTTTTTTACTTCTCCAAGGTCCTACATCCAGATCATTTTGAAGGACAGTCCAAGCAATCACTTCATCTGTGAATACTTTAGTATGTACCTAGAAGGTAAAGATGCATAAAATAGCCTCGTATTACCATTTTTATGTCTATCCAAAATAAGCAATAAACCAGCAAAAATCCAGTGGACACATTTCCACAATTGTTTTAAGATTGTAATTATTCATTTCATAGTTTTTTTGAAACAGGCTTTTTAAAAAGGCTATAGATTATAATTATTGGATATATCCCTTAAATCTCATGGAATTGATGAGATTTAAGTTTCTTCCTCCATCAATTTTTTTGGGTAATATTTTTGTTAACAAAACTATGTCATTTTTTTCTGAATAGTGTTCCACAACCTGGAATTTGCTGACTGGATCCCCGTAGTGTTGTGTAACACATTCCTCTGTCCCCTGTATTTCCTGTAAATTGGTAGTTAGATCCAGAGGCTTAATTTCATTCAGGTTTGATTTATTTTTTTTGGTGAGGTGCTGTTGTGTACTTCTATCACACAATGTCTGGCAGCAAACGAAGTTCATTGTCTAGAGTAGACTTTCTAGAGCAGCACTTTCCAATAGAAATTTCTGTGGTGATAGACATGCTCTATGTTAGGACTGGGTGTGGTCTATATCTGTACTTAATATCTATTCTATATCTACATATGGTAGCCAGTGGGCACTTGTGGCTCTTAAATGTGGCTAGGGTGATTGAGAAGCTATATTTTTAGTTATTAAACTTTTAATACTTTACATTTAAATGTAAATAGCCCTGTGTGACTGGTAGCTACCCTTTTGGGTAGTATAGCTGTAGACCCATTAATTCATTAAAGGCTGCCAAATAATAATATGATTATTCTATTATTTTTAAAAGTGTATTTGTTGTGATATTTTTTTTTGTTGTAATATTTTTGTAAAGAGAAATTTCCTCTTACGTTGCTATCATGAGGTTTAGATCCTACAGAAAAGGTTGAAAAGTTGCTTAATTCTTCTTCTGTGTTTATCAGTTGTGAAAATACTGAGTTTTAATAAGTGAATAGTAATTTGAACTGCTCTCTGTAACCTTGGGCTGTATATTAGGGGAGTTATACCTGTGGTAGAGCTGTCAGTTGGGGCCTTGCTTATAGACAGGTGGAGTGAAGAGAGTGTTCTCAAAAGTTCTAAATCTCAAACTCCTTGCAGCCCCACACTTCTGCCACCTGCAGTTCAAACCTCCGCTATGTGAGGCCTCAGAGCTCATGCCTGCTGCTTTCTGTGTGGACCAGTTTCACAGGAATGACCATGGGGCAGTGCTTCTGCAGGGCAAGAAAAGCTGGCTCTGGACAGAAGCAAAACCAGGTCAGCAGCCATTTCTGAGTCAAGAAAGGACTTGCCTTTTAGAAAGGCTAGAAATTCAACTTAACATGTACTTGAAGCTGTTTTTACTTTTCTAAGCAGGCTACTCTTAGAGTACTAAGCCGTAAGTGGAAACTGAGGTGTCCCAGGCTGCACTGTCTAACACTCAACGATTTGGCTATGAAAAAGAATGGCCAGACTAAACACAGCCCAGT